TAATATCTTAGTCGGAATTTCCTTAAGTTTATTAAAACTGCTTAGGGTTGAAGGTATGTGTTTCCTTTAACATCACAGACCTGTTTAGTGTTTAATTAAGAATTTATAAATAACAGCTCAGTGTTTTTAATTTAATGAAGTTAGACAACATTCTGGACAAATCAGATCACATCCATCCACTTTCTTAGTGTATTTCCAAATGAATATACTGATTTTTTCACCAAACTATGATGTTTTTAGCTGTTTTACATACGTTAATTGGTGGCTGAAAGTTACGTTTTGCTGGCCATACCAGCTGTCATCGTCATTTGGGGACCGAGCAGGTTTTTACATCCCTAGGGCCGCAAAATCAGCTGCTCGCTTTCTTTCTTAAAACATGAATACATACAATCAGCATCCATAGCATTTTAATAGAATTGTTTTATTTTCACTGTTGCCTAGCAACTATTTATTTTTATTTTTGCTCATTCCTCAAATTATTTCTTTACATAACCAGTTGTGTCGACTATCAGTGTGCATTATTATTGTGGTGAATAGTGGTAATAGGGTATAGTGTGGTGAAAAATAGCGTTCGTACCATAGACCGAAATGTTTTTGCAGCTCTCCATCGTTTTAAGTTCTCGACTTCGTCTCGAACTTAAATACTATCTCGAGCCGGCAAAACCTCATTTTCGGCCCTAGGTACGAAATATACTATTTCAATTTAAAAATTATCTTACCTGTATATTTTAATCTGTTATGTACCTATCAGTTGTTGTAATTAACTATTAGTAGCGAATTGTCACCACAAGTGCTGATATAATTGTTCACACTTATTTTTTTCTATATATGTTACATAGCACAGCTCATAGGACTTATCAGAAGTAATCACCTAATGGGCAGTCAGTGTTTTAGCATTGAAAGGAACGGGTTAGGTTAGGCAGTCGCGGTTCGTCGTGGCGGACGATATCGATTTCCTCAAGTGAAGCATTCAAAACTCGACAATCCCTGAGGAGGAACAGACATGTTGGAACATCGCCACAAGCTACCACCTTCTCTTAATGACATTTATTTACTCACTAGTACGCATTTTAATAAAAAAAGTCATACCAGTTTTTTTTATTATTACAATAACAAAATCTTTATGCATATTCCCTTCACCTACGTCATTTATCCAACTACTAACATGGACATCAAAAGCTCTCATTATTTATCACTTCACAATAAAAGAATATACTTGGATACGTTAATTGAGTAAATCGTTCACAATGATTGATTGTATGGAATACCTATAGTATAATCTAGTAGATTGGTAAAAAAACCTCTGATATCAATATGCCGTAAATTATTGTCACATCATTTTCCACGCATGTCTTTCATAGGGTTTATAATAATTGGCTTAAAAATGTGTTTAAAACGTATGCGGTTACTGTCACGCAGTAAGTTTACATTACTATCTAAATGTTAATTTACCAACAGATTAAAAATATTAAGGGAAAAATTACTTCAGTACTCAAACCATTCACATATATATGTTTGCTCAATACAAAACCGACGTATAACCAACACATTGATCGTATAAGGAAATAAATGAAACAATGACTGAACAGCATTTATACACTTTATTGACATATTAATCAACAATACCCGTTTAGTTTTCACATGATAGTGCCATATATCTTTTGCACTTTCATGTATAATGTTGATATTTCACATGATAGTGCCATATATCGTTTGCACTTTCATATACAATGTTGATATTTCTGTAGATATCCAATAATTTACAAGTTGAACATCAAAAATAAACTTGTTAACATGTACAAGAGTATTATATAAATATTATAGTATAGTGTTGTTTTAGTAAATATGTATTAATAAGTATCTTTTAAATGTTTTACACTGTGAATGGCTGAAGCAATAAGAGACAGACATTTACAGTCTTTTCGTCTACCAAGTTAAAACCGCAGTCGTATTTTGTCAAATTCTCTCCTACATAACATTAATTAATTCATTAAGTACGTCCATGAATGTTGTTCATCAATGTTAACTATATTAATAACAGAGAAAGACATAAGTAATACATTTAAAACATAAACTATAATGAAAAAGGTATACAGGCATTTACTACACTACTGCAAAAGTAAGAAATGAAATTACGTATTAGTTTTATTTCATTGGTTCTTGAGTACTAGAGTGTGTTTTGTTTGAATCACAGTTCAGTCTGGAGGAAAACGTTACTTCACCGTTATTTAGAAGCATATACATCCAGACAAAGCTTCTTTACAAAAAGAGCTGCAAAGAAATGTCCGCTCGCAGTGCACATGACTCCCTTCCCTCTGGCCCAGTGAACGGAGCATTTCACATATTGTGCCCTGTCTGAGCAGGTAAAAATACCAATCTTTTGGGGGAGCAATCATTTATAATATTTCTTGGTATGATGATAAGGGTCTTTTTTTTTGGACGGAGCCAACAATATTTTACCAAACATGTTTTCATGTATTTAGTCCAACATACATAGTATTTATTTATTTATTTTGCCTTATTACCATACTGCTTATTTGAGTTACCAAATCCATAGCTTTGTGATAGGAATTTCATTACATCATTCTATGCAGCTTTTGTTGTTCTTACCACCATTAAAAGTGATAATACAAACTAACGAATGCACATAAAAATATAGTTTTTTTTTAAATTTGTAGTTGTGACTATAAAGAAAGTTGGAACCATGTGATAGATTCAACAAAATTGCGGTTACCCTCAACTATTGTTCTAAAAGCTACAAGTGGCGAGACTTAGGAAAGATAGATTTGAATACATCTATTGTATTTAGAACTGTACGCTTAAGACCACTCTTGGGCCAAACCTTTAAAGTATATACAAATTATAATATTCAGCAATAAAAGTCTCTTTATGTTTAAAAAAATTAAATACAATAATAAAAGTAAAAACAGTTATTTACTAATTTTACAACAGCAACTTACTTTCTGTATTAATAATTTTGTAGAGTTTTCAATAATGATTTTTTTGAAAACGAAACGTTAGGTGGTATGTAGGTAGATTTGTTTTTAATGCTCTTCAAGAACCCTTAAGGCATTTAACCCCAACGACACCTTTTAAGTCAATTTCGTATCGAATTAATGTTTCCGGATGATTTTTTCTTTGTTTAGCGATTTTCACTATAAACTAAAACAAAACAATTTAATTTATTATTTAATTATTTAACTGTACTACTATTTCAACTTGTAACCAAAACAGTCTAGGCTGGTATAAACAGGACTAGAGTATGTAAAATTAACTTCACCTTCATCTAATCCCATAAAGAGACTATTATTTACTTTTATTAAATGTGGACACTATCGTCTGCTGAGGTGTAAACAATCAACACAAAAAACCGATTATAGGTCCGTTACATTTTAATACAACGTTACTATAAACCAATACAGTTTATGACCATTGTTATGACCATTGTATGACCATAGCTAGGGCTATACTGCTATATGACATTATTGATCGCAATCAGAACATTGAGAACCACAGAGTGACACGGAAGTTTAATTTACACGCCGCGCCGCCGATGTCCAGCATCAACATAAAAAACATCTTTTGTTGAATTGTCCGTACATCTGTAGTTAAAGTAATGACAAGTATTTATAATTTAATTTACACTGTTTTTAATTTGTAAGTAAATGCAACTGAGTACTTGTTAAAAAGGTCAAATATATAATATAATATACATTTTTACGTCGGATTAAAATATATATAAACATCGGCCAACAACGGTTTGAAACATAAGGTGGTTCACTAAAGATGAATATAACAGTTGTTAATTATGAACACCTCATCAGACTCAACTACAAGTCTTACGTAAGCTACGAAATAATAGCTGTGTGTTGATGCTATAAATTTATTCTGTATAGCACGTTTAAAGTCATTACTTTATATGAAAAAAATACTTTTGCAATGCAGTTGTAACCATCGTATACTTATGTATTAGGGGAGATACTGACCACTTTGATAATCAATGCATTTTCAACTGATATTCTTCTATCTCACAACGGTGAAGTAAAAAAGTAGCACGTTAAAAAATGTTAATTACTGAAAAGGTAACACACAAAACATGAAACTATACAAAAAACATCTAGACAAATAACCATTCTGAAATAAAAGCTACTTAAGTAGGTTTTAAAACTTAACATAACTTTTTTAGTGGAATTAGTAACGCAAAGATCTTAAATAACTAATAATTGCTTGAGGTAGAACATCAGTTACACACAATAAATGTTAACTTATCAAGTTCCTAAGATTAACATAAACATTACTGGTGTGTTAAAGGTTCCCACCAATGGTGCACAGAGTCAACTGTATAGAGGTTTATTTGTACATTTTGAACATATTAAGTGAAATTTAACGCATACAAAAGATTGTTTGTAGAATAATTTGTTTAACTTGAGTTAGGAGGTACGATGTCTCAAAATCCGTATAATCTATTTCATACTCATTATTTCTAATTGTTTTTTTAATAGACCCAAACCGATTTGGCCAAATGTCTTCCATGACACGTTTAATAAAACTATCTTAGATATGCATCCAATTTATAATTTACTCATGTGTATTACGGTATATGTTATTTGAATTTTGAAACCTAAATTTATCATTGTACCTATTAAAATGATTCGAATGAAAGAAATATATACAATATTCTAGTGATGCATGAGATCAATAGTTTAGGGATTCGAAGGCTCAGTTGGTAGCGTCACAGACTTCGTGATCAAGGCAGAGATGTAGTGGGTTCGGATCCTGGTACCTGCCACTACTTTACGTTTACCCTTGAACTATTCCGGCTTACCCCTAGCATGGCTGGATACGCTCCTTGTGCAGGCCAGGCCTATGTGGTCCATGTGGACAGGCATACGCAAGGTTAAAAAGACTGTCAACCTCATAAAATGTATGGTTTTATGAGGGTGCAATCTAACCAATATGGCGTTAATTGCTTCAATAATATGTTCATCGTATACCTACTCTATAACGTGCTATAACCTTGTGTTTTTGTTATTTGTAAAATCTGTCTGTAAATTTTGTCTAGGTGATTTTTTATTTATAATTAGATCCGTACCCATTAGTGGAACCCTTATTTGATAACGTTTCACTATTTACTAGGAAAATAAGTATTAACTAAAACTAATAGAAACTCAAGCCAAATGTAACACATTCCATAAACAATTACCTAATTTTTAACATAAAAACATTAAATGAGATCAATTTTTATGTTACAAACTTAATGATTATCATTAATATAGTTAACATTACGGTGGGGTAGGGGGAGGTTACAGGTGCGTGTTGGTGGTGGATGGAGTAGGAGAGGGGGAGGAAGGTGGTCGTCATGGGAGGATTCTCATGATGTTGATCATCTCAGTGACTAGCGTCGCAGCGACGTGTGTCGAGGGTCATCTCGAGTCTGAGCCTCCCTCGTTGTCACCACCACTGTCCTCCCCCAAAGAGTGGTGTGTGCTGTGTGCAGGCATCTCGTTGTTGTTGCTGGACGAGCTACGGCCTCTCTCACACCTCCGCACTCCCAGATGAGAACCGTCCGAGCCTCTCCGGTGATGCCGCGAGTCCCTCCTCTCCTGCTTACCCGAACAGAAACACCTACATATGATCCTCTTGAACGCGAAACGGAAATCCTTACTAAATAAGGCATAGATGCACGGATTGATGGCGGAATTGCAATATCCCAGCCAAAACATAATCGAGAACGCTACGTCGTTCACGCACTCTTTACAAAAGGCTCGGAACAGGTACATCGTGAAAAAAGGTAACCAACATATAATAAAGCCACCCACTATGATACCGAGAGTCTTTGCGGCTTTGGTTTCCATGCGAAACCTCTTGACTTGTGCCTTGATGTTTCTTTTGCCCATCCTCGATATCAATTTAGGCTTCGTCCCTTGGTTGCCGTCGTCGAACGTCGGGGACGGTGAGAGGTCCTTTGCTATCGTGGAGTTCAGGGACTCTCCAAGTAGTCCTGGACGTGGTCTGGAGTACGACCCGTCAGGACTCGTGCTGCTGCGTCGTCCTCTGCGATGGGAGGAAGCTAGTCTGGCACCGGTCACTCTCAGGTGGCAGTTGGGATCACTCGATCTAAATATAGTGTTAGAGTTCGCGTTTTGGTAATGCACCGCGTACTGCGGGCCAGACGAAGTTGGAGACGACGAGGAAAAGGAACCCGACTTAGAGTTTACACTTCCACCCGGGGGTGAACCGTTGTTATTAGCGACCGAACTTATCGCGTCACTACTAGGATAACTAACACTAATTTTAATTTTTTCGTGAGACCGAGTTGGTCCTCTTTCAGAACGTCTCGTTGAAGTCCTATTAGCTCTAGTGTCCGGTGACTTTCCACCACCCGGTGAGTTACTAACACTATTAGCTGTACTGTTCGTAGTAGTCGTACTATTACTTCCACCACTTCCTTGCATCACTGACCCCCTCCCTCTGTGTATTCGTAAGGTGAGTCTCTGTTCGTCAAAACGGTTTCCGATACCGCTTTTGGCTCCTTTGGTAGTCCGGAATCCTTGGTTTATCGCTCTTGTAGTTTGCACAGCTGCTCGATAAATCCTCCAATAAAAGAACAACATGACGAGCATAGGGAGATAGAATGAGCCCAACGCGGAGTATATAACGTACCCCGTCTCATCGGTGAGCTCACAGATCCAAGGACAGTGCGGGTACTGCACAATTTCATACGTAGCCGGGGCGTTTACAATAGTCGCTCCACCAGGTGTCAGTGGCCTGCCTGTGGATAGGACGGTCTCGTTCTTGGTGACCAACACTCTTGGCCTGACCGTAGTGTTGTAGACCGGCTCTTCCTCGCGCCACCCCAGTAGTGGCGGGAAGCAGATGACGAAGCTCAGGACCCACACGCTGGCGATGAGTATCTTGGCGCGGCCCATGGACATGATACTGGGGTAGGTGACAGGACGAGTGACTGCTACGTAGCGATCCAATGAGATGGCGCACAGGTTGAGTATGGACGCCGTGCACATCCACACATCCACTGCTAGCCACACAGAGCACCACAGATCACCGAATATCCACACCTGTAACAAACAGCCACAGTAACTACAGGCTCTAATAATAAGCATCCATATATATCATCGCAGATAAAATATTTAAACCTGTGAATATATACTTAAAATGAGTTACTGTGAAGGACTTAATCAATCAAATATCGAACACTTGTTTTATTATATATTATAATTACACATGGTACCCTAGAGTATTTGAAATCAACACCTGTAACAAAACACAAGAGAATCCGTTATAAATAGGTCATCCCCAGACTCCCAGTTACACAGAGCATCACAGGTCACCAAATTACCAATTCTGTACCAAACGTACAGTGCAGCTGATAGTATTGGTCAAAAACATTGATACTTTCACCGTCAACTGCTCAATTCTCTAGTCTCTATCGTCCATTCTATTTGTCTATGATAAAACAAACCTTTTTACACCAACATACATCATAAATATCGTCACATAAATTATATTGCAATATACATTCGCTTGTGGTCTAGAAGATGTATTCAGAGTTAGGCCTAACTGATTAGTTAGTTATATCAGGACCTTGATCGTTCACTACCAGTTTTCTTTATACCTAACTAATCATCTTGTGATGTGATATAATATTAAATGATCTTGTGATATGTGACACCTAACTCTGCGTTTTCTATTGCACTTGATAACATGGGTATCGTTGTACATAATGTTCATTAGAAAAAAACTCAAGAAAACTGTCATTTTTGAAAATTCTGCCGGCTTAGAGACTTAAATGCAAGTTTGTGTTTGTCTGTGTAAAGTAACAAGTAAACATAATGTTTTGTAAACATTGGAAACTATTATTTACACTTGAATTACTAAACTGTACAGTCAATATTAAAGAATCTCCTGGTACCTGAGCAAATTATATACATATACTATTTCTTGACATTAAACAGAAATCCGAAATATTTACTCAGGTGTATTTTAAAATATAAATTCCACACAAAAGTCTTAAACAATAAATTCTACAAGAGCATAGCCAAAGCAATAGCAAAGCCTAAAATAAAAACAAAACATGTCATGTATAATATGATAATAATACATCCACAGCTGTATAACAGCTCCTTATCTTAGCTGCAGGCCCCAATATAAATCCAGAGCAGAGTGCGGCTGCAGACGACATGAGGGCTCTTGACTTATGAATACATAATTAGCTACGTCATAGCCGCGCTGTTTCCTACCCACTTTTTCATCCAATTTTAGCGTTATTTTAATAGCATATGCAACAATATTCAGTAAGTTTTTTCCTACAAATAAAATGGTTCGGTTACTTTCATTTATGTAAATTAGTTTTAAAAGGTCGCTCATATAAACAACATAATGATTACGTTGTCATTTGTTGTATTCTATGTACAGATATTTATATTTTAATTAATGTTTTTTTAAGAGAACTACCTAATTCTTTGCATTACAACATTACTTTTTACTACAGCAACTTAGGAATTTACAGTTGATAGTATCCCTGCCGCAACAAACCTGCAGACTAAGCCAATTTCTCTCTTAGGACTGCTACTTAAATGTTTTCTCAAACATGTTAGATCTATTTAATATTCACATAACACCAGTTTTAACAAGTACGTAAGTTTGCTGAAATAGAGAAGGTATTAAAGTGTGCTTTTTCTACATGTTAATGGCTTAGTATACAATAACAAATTTGCTAACTTTGACCAAGATAAACCCTAACCCACAGACTAACTAACTACAGCAGTTAACATGTCATCTATAGCAGCATTACATGTTGATCAATAAAATAAACATTTCGAATTTATATTTCTAGAATCGTCTACGTAACCGTACCCCCAAACATAACTTTAAAATACTAAGTTATGAGTTTTATTTAGTTGTAAAAAATAGTTTAGATATACAATAAGAAACGCCTATCTTTTGAGGGCCAATATAAGATAAACAATTTTTACCATAAAAAAACAATTCTGTTTGAAATTTTTCTGTTATGGTCCTTAAAATTCTAAACAAAATAGTGCATCCTTTCATTCCTTTAAAAATTACTGTTCAAAAGTTAATGAAACTTTTGTGATTTTTCCTATTAAATCTTACCCATAATTAAGGTTGTTGACAAGCTAATGGGAGAAAGAATGTGTCAGATTGCTGATACCGTTTATTACATTTGTACTGCTCATGCAATAAATAAGACCTTAGTGCAACTATTTATTTAAATGTTTACCTGGATATTATTCAAATACTAGTTAGTCTTTATAAAAAAAAAAAAAACTATCCATACCATTTCTCGCATGCATTAAACAGAAATACCAAAAATTCTCAAAAGACAGTGATTGGGATTTAACTTTCTAACTAACTAAAGGATAATAGCGAAAAAGTTTTTATTTTAAACATAGTATTAATCTATTGCACTTAAATACAATCAGGCATTATGCTTCCCTAAAGACTAAAGAGTTATTATTCTAATGAAAAAATCCTTTTTAAAGATAAAATGCTCACTTTAATGCATTGGCTGAAAACTGGACCAAAAACTTTTGTCCCAAAGTATAAACTCTAAAATGGGTTTTGCTCTCAGCTCTCTCCTTTGTCCGTTTATCTCGTGGTTTATTAAAAGCACTCCATGCAACAGCAATTCAATAGCTTTACACTACATATTTTCACATTTGCAAAATATCCTGTGTGGTTTATTATGTACCGACTTATGTAGTGTTCAATGAATTCAGAAATTTTGTTTTACACCCCATTATACTAATTATAAATTTACTTAGGAAACCCATTTAACCGCTGCAACACATGCAACACAGAAGTATATAACTCAAATTTTAATTATTATTATACTGTATTTCTACATTCTACAAGGTTTATACATCACCTCAATTATTTGTTACTGAGAACTTATTATGTTTTTAGTACTTAAGAGTTTATTTACAAAATTTCTGTACCATAGACACGGATGAACATGATTTCAAATATATAGGTGGGGTAGTGACACAGGTTGTATTTACAGTTAATTGTTATTGAAAATGCTTTAACTTTAGAATGAAACCATAATTGACCCACATTTCAGATTTTTTTTACTAAATGAGGATGAAGGTAAATATTTATTGCTTCTCAGATAATCAATAAATATTAATTTAGGGGATCTTACCTCTAAATAATGATGACGGTTTTATTAAAGAAAATTAATGCGAATCACCTTTATGAGTTTAACATTTACATGCCCTGTAACTATTAAATTTACTGTATACTTTAATAAGGATAAATAATTGTCACTATATTATCATTTAGTCTAGTTTGCAAGCAATTCATAATACTCTCTATGGAGCTTATAAAAACAGTTAATGACGTGTCTACATTATAGGCATACTGAAAGTTGTGTAGTTATTATTACGTAGTGAAAATATGTACACGTTGTACGCTCCAACTCTAACAAGATGTAAATAAAATTGTAATTTACAGTTCCTGAAAAATTTAAATAGTCGGCAGCAGGTGTGTGAGTGATCTGTACTGTGTCGGACAGCCACTACTAGCCTGTAGTCTAGTGCACACACATATCCGTACTGGTGTTAATGTGACACATCTGTAACTTGCTTACACCTGTACTCTCTGTCCATTGTGAACTGACATTGATAATTTCCTGAACAATGTAAATAGTCAGCAGCAGGTGTGTGAGTGATCTGTACTGTGTCGGACAGCCACTACTAGCCTGTAGTGTAGTGCACACACATATCCGTACTGGTGTTAATTGTGACACATCTGTAACTTGTTTACACCTGTACTCTCTGTCCATTGTGAACTGACATTGATAATTTCCTGAACAATGTAAATAGTCAGCAGCAGGTGTGTGAGTGATCTGTACTGTGTCGGACAGCCACTACTAGCCTGTAGTGTAGTGCACACACATATCCGTACTGGTGTTAATTGTGACACATCTGTAACTTGTTTACACCTGTACTCTCTGTCCATTGTGAACTGACATTGATAATTGTTCACCAATTATATCACCGACTCCTTCTCATCATAACTATTTGAAACACAATGCTTAGCATTTGTATACCATTATATAACTACTCCAAGAGTTGTATTATTTAAAGTTATCTTTAGTTTATTATCGTGATTTATTCTTATAGCTTATTACGTATATGGTTACCATTGAAATTTTACACATGTTTTTATCATTGTTGTATTTTTTTATAAATTGGATTAAATAGCATTGTATTGTAGTAGGCCTAGTCAGAAACATTACACAGGGTGATTCTAAATTATTGTTAAACTTTTTAAACTCTATAAATGAGAAACTATACAACCTATCCTGACGGGATGAGTTTCAATTGAAATAGGAGATTCTAAAGTTATGTTTGACTCTACTTTGGTTAACATAGTTGCAACACTAGACTCTACAGACATTTTTAGATTTTAACAAAGATTTTAAAATAACTACACAATTTAAAATCAATCTATACTTCTATACTATTATATAAAAATCTAATGGTGTCTGTCTGTATGTGTGTTACTAATAGATGCAAAAACGACTAAACCAAATGGGCTTAAATTTTACAAACATATAGCTACCATACCAAGGACCATTATAGGAATATTCACATTTCGATACTTACCGTAGGCTTTGCCCCTTTAGCTTTAAAAGTTCTGAGGTGAACATTTCAAAAGTAAATATTGATTTGTCTCCATGGCTGTGATGAGAACACTAACAATATTTGTTTACATTTGCTTTGACATTTAAATGTAAACAAGAAGAACTGCTAAACTGCATATTTCACAATTTCAGACAGCTGATACAAAGAAATTAAATATAATATTTTCCATAACTATGAGGTACCTGTAGGTTTATTTTAATCTAACCTTTTATCATGGATTATTTATTCTACAACTATGTCAATGATTATAGAAAAAAAGATTCTATAATCTTTGCTGTATCAACTATTAAAAAATCTGCTTTGGATTTTTTAAAGCCTAAGCTATGAAAATAATGTTATTGATATATTTTCATGGAAACAGTATGAAAATTACAACGTATAGATGT